CCCTGGGCAGCCTGGTCTAGCATTAAATGAGGAGGTTGGTGGCCCTGCATGTGGCAGGAGGGTTGGAGAGTCATGATCCTTGAGGTTCCTTCCAACGCTGGCAATTCTGTGATTCTGTGATTCTGTAATGCCATAGATATCTTTCTTAACCCTGTGGAGATCAGATGAGGATTTTTGTTTAACCGGGATCCTCTGATTTAATTTCATTTTGGTTTTCCTGTTGATTCAGCGTCTTCTCTTATGTCTTTGGGTTAATATTAGCCTTCCTTAATTGTCATATGATGATGTAGAAATCTTTGTGTAGTTGTGCTTTCAATTGCTCAGTTTCATTCTAGATTATCCTCAATTTGTAAAGAAGAAAGTTAGTTCTTGAGCATAAAACATCCACAGACATTTGAGGCATTGGAACAGGCTGCCCAGGAAGGTGGTGGAGTCACTATCCCTGGAGGTGTTGAAGAACCGTGTGGATGTGGCACTGAGGGATGTGGTCAGTGAGATGGTGGGGATGGTTGGGTTTGGGCTTGATGACCTAAGAAGTCTTTCCAACCTTAATAATTCTATGATTCTACCTATACACACTAAATTTTGGCCACAGGACTTATTGCTGACTGGTCCTTTCAGATCAAGCACTATCTAAAATGGCAGAGGGAAGCAAAATATGTATATCATTTTTCAGGTGAAGAACAAATCGTGCAGGTTTGAAGTAGAAGATAGTGTGCCTCTGTACAGAGGAGCAGTCTTCACCATTACAGTACCAAAGACAAACATCTCAAAAATTTGCCAATTTTTCCCTGAAGGTAATGCTTGTGGTTTTCTCCTTTTACAATCTTTTGAAGCTAAATAATACCATAGGAAACAGTTCCTTAAACAGTAGTTAAATATTATTTTCTATTTAAAATGCTTGTCTTTCTGCAAATCTGTTTAAGCCATTTGTTCTCTACTGACCGTTCTGCAGTTCTGCAACAGAGGTGTTACAAAAACTGTATCAATAATTGTGTTATTCCTTTTCTTGCTAGGTCTCCAAAATGCTGCTAAATTACAGTGGTTTCAGGGTGATTCAAGTAATTGTTCTGACTGTTTGACCACTAAAGTCACTAGTGCTTCTGCAGCTGCATGTAGCTGGGTTATTTCAGGCTTGGAAAAAATGATAAGATTAAGTAGTTTGTTTATCTTTTCTTAGGGATTCAACAAAAGAGATTTTTTCACAGTGCCCTAAAAAATACAACCCAGGGCACTGCCTTTTAAATGCTCTTCCCCATCTGAATCTCAGGTCCAGGCATGCAGGTCTCCCAAGGGGACTCCCATGTTTCTCAAGTGCCTTCACCTGAGGGAGGGGAGGGGGGGAGAAGGGAGGG